ATATGTATCATTTGCTTATTTCGATCATAATTTGATCAATTTAGCCCCAATTTAAGCCACATTATTTTTTTTATTCTCATTATTCTACTCATTTTCAATTACATATTCTTTAATAAAATAATATTTGTCATAACATTAATAACTTTTCTTTCTTTTTTAACCACATATTTCTCATCACATCAACCAAAAAAGATACATTCTTGGAGCAAAAATGTGCATCAAACAGAGGCTTATATTTTTTAAAACATGCGTTGATTTTCTATTTGGAAAGAAAATATAAAAAGATCGAGTGTAATATCTTAGGATGAAACATCTAGAATTCTTTTATTTCATTGAGTGTCGTACACTTTTTGTCATCAGTTTAGCCTCTTATGGCGCGAGTTTATTCAAATTTTTTTAAATTTTAGCACATCCTAACGTTATTTTATGGCTCTGCGCCTGTGTACATATCTATATTACGAGGTAGTATCATGAGAAATTGAGTTTCAGTGCTTAAGAAAGGTTTTTATTAAGTTAAAACACATGGATGAGGAAATCCTGAAAGAGGATAAGAAAAATGAGATGAAGGAAAATTTTCTTGAGCTATCTTAGAAAAATTTTGAGGACGAAATTTACTTAGAGCTTGTTTGAGAAAGATTAAAATTCAATTAAAATTGAAAATATAGCCATTATTGGATCTCACTCGTCTAATAAAAGTCAACTCCAACAGCTATATTTTCAATTTTAATCTGATTTTAATCCCTACCAAACAATCTCTTAAAAAGGAAATTTGTAATGCCACAAAAATTCGTAGCCTTAATTATTTAATATTAGGGGGGTTGAAATCATATTTTGGCGATAGTCCACTTTATATCTCGGAGGTCACGATATATATATTTCCAAACTGTTGAGGATGTTTGGTGTCAAAAAAGAAGATTGAGGGTAGAGTATTAACAAATTGGAAAGGTTAGGGATGAAAAGTGCAAAAAACCTAAAAGTTACAGCGTCTTATCCTTTAAAACTCCAAAACCTCAAACCTCAACCTAAAACCCCTAAAGAGAAATTTCCAACAATGCTTCTGCAACCCACATCCTCAAAATCATCCATCAGTTTTCATCACCAAAACCAGAATCATGCCCTTTTCAAACAACCCATTATTGTTACCCTTCAAACCAATAAAAATCCAATCTTGATAAAGGG